CTTTCAAAGGTCGTAACTTTTTTTCTACTGTAGATAGAAAGCTGAATCTTTCACTGAATTTTATCTCTTTCAAAGGATTACAATCCTTGAAAATTTCAGTTCATTTGCACTTGTGGTTCCTGAGATAAAATCGTGTTAAGCAATTGGGGTGATTTATCAATTTTTCAATTTTTCTGAGTGCCTTTTTTCATAGATTTCGGCTTCAAATCTGAGAATAATTTTGTGTATGGAGTTCAGGGTATCACGAGGGACCAGTAGAACCCAAAATCTCGACAAAAAAAAATTTGAAATTTCATCACTTTAGTAAGAAGGTACCCCCCTTATGATTTTTTTGGAAAACTTTCAAAGGTCGTAACTTTTTTTCTACTGTAGATAGAAAGCTGAATCTTTCACTGAATTTTATCTCTTTCAAAGGATTACAATCCTTGAAAATTTCAGTTCATTTGCACTTGTGGTTCCTGAGATAAAATCGTGTTAAGCAATTGGGGTGATTTATCAATTTTTCAATTTTTCTGAGTGCCTTTTTCCATAGATTTCGGCTTCAAATCTGAGAATAATTTTGTGTATGGAGTTCAGGGTATCACGAGGGACCAGTAGAACCCAAAATCTCGACAAAAAAAAATTTGAAATTTCATCACTTTAGTAAGAAGGTACCCCCCTTATGATTTTTTTGGAAAACTTTCAAAGGTCGTAACTTTTTTTCTACTGTAGATAGAAAGCTGAATCTTTCACTGAATTTTATCTCTTTCAAAGGATTACAATCCTTGAAAATTTCAGTTCATTTGCACTTGTGGTTCCTGAGATAAAATCGTGTTAAGCAATTGGGGTGATTTATCAATTTTTCAATTTTTCTGAGTCCTTTTTTTCATAGATTTCGGCTTCAAATATGAGAATAATTTTGTGTATGGAGTTCAGGGTATCACGAGGGACCAGTAGAACCCAAAATCTCGACAAAAAAAAATTTGAAATTTCATCACTTTAGTAAGAAGGTACCCCCCTTATGATTTTTTTGGAAAACTTTCAAAGGTCGTAACTTTTTTTCTACTGTAGATAGAAAGCTGAATCTTTCACTGAATTTTATCTCTTTCAAAGGATTACAATCCTTGAAAATTTCAGTTCATTTGCACTTGTGGTTCCTGAGATAAAATCGTGTTAAGCAATTGGGGTGATTTATCAATTTTTCAATTTTTCTGAGTGCCTTTTTTCATAGATTTCGGCTTCAAATCTGAGAATAATTTTGTGTATGGAGTTCAGGGTATCACGAGGGACCAGTAGAACCCAAAATCTCGACAAAAAAAAATTTGAAATTTCATCACTTTAGTAAGAAGGTACCCCCTTATGATTTTTTTGGAAAACTTTCAAAGGTCGTAACTTTTTTTCTACTGTAGATAGAAAGCTGAATCTTTCACTGAATTTTATCTCTTTCAAAGGACTACAATCCTTGAAAATTTCAGTTCATTTGCACTTGTGGTTCCTGAGATAAAATCGTGTTAAGCAATTGGGGTGATTTATCAATTTCTCAATTTTTCTGAGTGCGTTTTTCCATAGATTTCGGCTTCAAATCTGAGAATAAATTATTGTATGGAGTTGGGGGTATGTTGATTGACCAGTAGAACCCAAAATCTCGACAAAAAAAAATTTGAAATTTCATCACTTTAGTAAGAAGGTACCCCCCTTATGATTTTTTTGGAAAACTTTCAAAGGTCGTAACTTTTTTTCTATTATAGATAGAAAGCTGAATCTTTCACTGAATTTTATCTCTTTCAAAGGACTACAATCCTTGAAAATTTCAGTTCATTTGCACTTGTGGTTCCTGAGATAAAATCGTGTTAAGCAATTGGGGTGATTTATCAATTTTTCAATTTTTCTGAGTGCCTTTTTTCATAGATTTCGGCTTCAAATCTGAGAATAATTTTGTGTATGGAGTTCAGGGTATCACGAGGGACCAGTAGGACCCAAAATCTCGACAAAAAAAATTTGAAATTTCATCACTTTAGTAAGAAGGTACCCCCTTATGATTTTTTTGGAAAACTTTCAAAGGTCGTAACTTTTTTTCTACTGTAGATAGAAAGCTGAATCTTTCACTGAATTTTATCTCTTTCAAAGGACTACAATCCTTGAAAATTTCAGTTCATTTGCACTTGTGGTTCCTGAGATAAAATCGTGTTAAGCAATTGGGGTGATTTATCAATTTTTCAATTTTTCTGAGTGCCTTTTTTCATAGATTTCGGCTTCAAATCTGAGAATAATTTTGTGTATGGAGTTCAGGGTATCACGAGGGACCAGTAGAACCCAAAATCTCGACAAAAAAAAATTTGAAATTTCATCACTTTAGTAAGAAGGTACCCCCTTATGATTTTTTTGGAAAACTTTCAAAGGTCGTAACTTTTTTTCTACTGTAGATAGAAAGCTGAATCTTTCACTGAATTTTATCTCATTCAAAGGACTACAATCCTTGAAAATTTCAGTTCATTTGCACTTGTGGTTCCTGAGATAAAATCGTGTTAAGCAATTGGGGTGATTTATCAATTTCTCAATTTTTCTGAGTGCGTTTTTCCATAGATTTCGGCTTCAAATCTGGGAATAAATTATTGTATGGAGTTGGGGGTATGTTGATTGACCAGTAGAACCCAAAATCTCGACAAAAAAAAATTTGAAATTTCATCACTTTAGTAAGAAGGTACCCCCCTTATGATTTTTTTGGAAAACTTTCAAAGGTCGTAACTTTTTTTCTACTATAGATAGAAAGCTGAATCTTTCACTGAATTTTATCTCTTTCAAAGGACTACAATCCTTGAAAATTTCAGTTCATTTGCACTTGTGGTTCCTGAGATAAAATCGTGTTAAGCAATTGGGGTGATTTATCAATTTTTCAATTTTTCTGAGTGCCTTTTTCCATAGATTTCGGCTTCAAATCTGAGAATAATTTTGTGTATGGAGTTCAGGGTATCACGAGGGACCAGTAGAACCCAAAATCTCGACAAAAAAAAATTTGAAATTTCATCACTTTAGTAAGAAGGTACCCCCCTTATGATTTTTTTGGAAAACTTTCAAAGGTCGTAACTTTTTTTCTACTGTAGATAGAAAGCTGAATCTTTCACTGAATTTTATCTCTTTCAAAGGATTACAATCCTTGAAAATTTCAGTTCATTTGCACTTGTGGTTCCTGAGATAAAATCGTGTTAAGCAATTGGGGTGATTTATCAATTTTTCAATTTTTCTGAGTGCCTTTTTTCATAGATTTCGGCTTCAAATCTGAGAATAATTTTGTGTATGGAGTTCAGGGTATCACGAGGGACCAGTAGGACCCAAAATCTCGACAAAAAAAATTTGAAATTTCATCACTTTAGTAAGAAGGTACCCCCTTATGATTTTTTTGGAAAACTTTCAAAGGTCGTAACTTTTTTTCTACTGTAGATAGAAAGCTGAATCTTTCACTGAATTTTATCTCTTTCAAAGGACTACAATCCTTGAAAATTTCAGTTCATTTGCACTTGTGGTTCCTGAGATAAAATCGTGTTAAGCAATTGGGGTGATTTATCAATTTTTCAATTTTTCTGAGTGCCTTTTTTCATAGATTTCGGCTTCAAATCTGAGAATAATTTTGTGTATGGAGTTCAGGGTATCACGAGGGACCAGTAGAACCCAAAATCTCGACAAAAAAAAATTTGAAATTTCATCACTTTAGTAAGAAGGTACCCCCCTTATGATTTTTTGGGAAAACTTTCAAAGGTCGTAATTTTTTTTCTATCATAGATAGAAAGCTGAATCTTTCACTGAATTTTATCCTTCCCAAAGGACTACTATCCCTGATAATTAAAATGGCTGAAGATAGGCAATAAATTGTAAATTTATGTATGAAATTAAAATTTCTTTTATCATGCCTTTTTTCATAGATTCCGGAAATTAACAATTTCGTTTGGTCATATGCACACATTTCATAATTTTTCCCCGAAAAGAAAGAAAAACCTCACGCTCTATAAAAAAAAAAACAAAAAAATTCTCCATTGTTCCAGACAGCTCTATTAAATTTCTCATTTCAAGCCTCTATGACTCTCTGCATACTAAATTGTGTTGATTTTTACTTTGTGGAAATTTTAAATTTTCCCAGGCGCTTGTTAGTTATAACTAACTACCACTGCTCTTTTCGATTTTCTTTCGATAATTTCGCATTTAAAAAATGGCGACATGATTTTCAGTTGCGCTCAACAGGTTTTCCCGCCTGATGCGAAAGGAAAACCCGGTAATGACTTTCTCGTTAGGAGTTTTCTATGAAAAGTAATTTTAGAACTCGGATGTAACCCTTAGGACTCTGGCCGCTCTTTATTATGCTATAGAAAAGGATTTTCTCTATTTTTCACATAGAACTTTTGAGAAATCTTTTCTCTTGTTGGGTATATTGGAAATCCTTGATAGTTTGTGGACATCACATCTGAATTGATTTTTCCCGGCCCTCTCAATTATCTGCCTCCTGACCGTGAAACAGAGAGGGCATTTCTTTCCCGATTCAATTTAGTTTATCGGAAAAGGACGCATTTTTCCAAAGAGTTTCCAACCGACAATATGCTTTTTATTAAAATGTAAAAATTGATCAAAAGTTTCGTAGGGGGTCAAATACACTAGAGGCAAAGGGCTCTTTTTAATTTTCTTTTCCGGAACTTTATTTGCTAAAGCCTTTTGTGCCAATCTACACGCCTACCGAGGCGTATAATGAATTATTCATTTCTTGCATTATATTCAGTGAAATAAAAGGAAATTTGTAAAAATAATAATTCGTAATTCATTTGCCTGTGACGATAAAATTCCAATCTAAAAACCAATTTTACTAGCGAAAAATAAATATATAAACGAAGCCGCTATATGCGCATTCGACAATTTATCATTGCATCGGTTCCCTGTATAGTGGGAATTAAACCCACACACATATTATTGGAAATTTATATTATAATGTTTTTTCCTCTTTGCTAAATAGTTTATTTAGAGTAAAATGGTCCACTTACCTTTTCGTATGCAATCAATCAGACTGTACCCGGAACAAATGTCTGCGGTATAGCATTTTCCTGTCGGCATTCTCAAAGCGAATTCGAGAATTTTCTCATCGTTCTGTTGGTGTCTTCATCGGGGCTAGAACATACTCATATTTATACACAATTCAATGGGATACGACAAACATTTCAATAGTAATTAGTAAAGACACCAAGGGCCGGTATTATAAAGTCCGAAGGTTGAATTTCAACTGAAATGTCCGTATAAAATCATAGGGAAGTGTCAGTTTGACCACTGGTTGAAACTCAACCAGGCTTTATAATACCGGCCCTAAATCCTACAAAACAAAACTTTCTACTTTTCAAGTTCTAGTTAATATTTCTAGTCATTTGCGTGATTAAATTACCCTTTCAAATTATCAGCGGCTTTTAATTTAACCCTCCAGTTTCGTATTATTGCGTAGAAGAAGGATAAGTCCTAGTTACAGATGGATAGATCTTAAATCGTAGTTAAAGATTGAAGGGACTAATAGGGTTTCCAGACAAAACGAAGCCACAGCTAATTTTTTGAGCTTCGAGGCTCTACAAATAGACTTTCCAGCAAATTAATTATTGAAACCCCTAGGGCGACACATGGTAGTTTCATTGGAATAGTGTGCAGCAGTAAATTAGTGTCTGAACAGAACGGACCCTGTTTTCCCTCGATTATTAGAGACCGCAAGTTGTTTGGGAAAATTAAATTTGGTCACAAGTGTGATAGAGTAAAACTAATTTAAGAATGGTACACGCACATATATCTACGCTACTTGACTTGAAAAATCTTTCTTATTTATTCGAGATAGTTTCACTTGGCTCTAATTTTATGCAACGAATCTTGTAAAATGTGCATAAATAATTGCGCACTCAAAAAGGCTATACAAAATCCCTGCGGATGTAATTTGCATGTTTCGAAACGAGATGCAAATTTTTAGCTTCGAAACAAGCTGGAAGTGTTTTATACTTGAACATCAATAATTCCACCCCCTCTGTTGCTACTCGCGAATTTTCTCTATATTTGAAAATCGGAAACTCGCCATCATTATTAGAAAAGTTTTATCGAAATCTCTGAATGTGTGCACGAGTCAAGTTTACTTTATGAAATTTATCATCGGTTTCTTAAGGCTTACTTGGCAATTATTAATTACTCCCAAAAGTCGCGCCTTCTCCCTTTTAAGACTTTGTACAAGTTTCTCGGAGGAATTAATTATCCGATTTATACGTCTGAATAATGTATACGTTTTTCGGAACAATTCGCTTATGTATTTCTATTAGTGATTGGTAAAAATACCCGGGTATTGACCGGGTGTTTATGATTTTATCCATCGGTTGAATACTGAAATTAATTACGTATCAAAAAATAAAAACTCAATTCCATAACATTTTCAACTTATAAGGGCCATAATGTTCAGGTACAAATAAGTGGATTGTTGCGGAACTTATGAATGAACCAATATATTGTTGAACTGTTCAAGTAAGACATTTACTTGAAACATGTAGTTTTTAAACTAATGAGAATAATTCACATTTGAGTGAGTCAGTTTAGTATCCTAATTTAACAACATGTTGATGAATAGATGGCTGAAAGAGATCCACCCATAAGTTCCGCAACAATCCACTCGTTTGTACTTGAATAACTTGTCATAATATATTACAAGTTTAATAAAGTACCATTACTTATTCCTGTTGAAAGGCTAATTGACAAAAAGTAAATAATCTTACAAATTCTGACTTTATATAATAAGTTAATTTTCAAATACAAATAAGTGGATTGTTGCGGATTTTATGGGTGGACCTCTGCGGGACGAGCGTAGCGAGTTCCGCAGCCATCTACTCACCAATATACTGTTGAATTGTTCAAATAAAACATTCACCTGAAACGTGTGATTTTTAAACTAACGAGAATAACTCACATTTGAGCGAGTCAGGTTAATATCGTAATTAAACAACATATTGATGAACAGATGGCTGCGGAACTCGCTGCGCTCGTCCCGCAGAGGTCCACCGATAAGTTCCGCAACAATCCACTCGTTTGTATTCGAATAACTTGTCACATTATATTACTAGTTTGGTAAAGTAACATTACTAATTTCTGTTAAAAGAAAGTTATTGTTCAAAGTACAGGGGTGTTTTTTTTTTTATATATATTAATAATCCACCTACAACCTAACCCAACTTAACCCAACTTGACCCAACCCCAATTTAACCCAACTTAACACAAGTTAAGTTGGGTTAGGCTAAATTGGGTTAAATTGGGTTAAGTTGAATTGGGTTAAGTTGGGTTAAGTTGGGTTAAGTTGGGTTAGGTTGGGTTCCCCTCCGAGGAGCTGTGAGACCTTGTCGTTGGTGGAGGGGCACAGCGACTGACCGTGTATTTGACTGGTCAGCCGCTGCTAAGGACAGCTCAACCTCAGGGGTCCGCACTGCGGACACGGGTGTGGCAAACCCGGGGCACCCTAGCTGGGCTCTCACCCCACACCCAGGGTGATCCTTTTCCAAGCATCCACAACCCCAAATCCTCCCCTTCCCACCCCACACAACCCCCCCGACGCTATTAGGTTCCCGAGGGCTAGGGGCATTACTTTCTTTTTCCCCCAATTTCTCCCCACAAGATACAAAAAAAAAACATGATGGCAAGCAAGGAAACGGAAAACGAGTTTACGGTGCAGGGGGGGGATACCCCAGTACCGGTCGAGGAATCTGGTGGTGGTGCAGGCCAGCCTCGACCGTCAACAAGCATCTGTACAGCGTCCTCGGCAGGGAACCAGGCCGGGACGCAGGTGCCAACTACTGGAACACAAAGGCAAACCCTGGCAAAAGAGTGGTCGATCACTTTTGGAAGAAGGGGTTCACTGGCGAGATCGCCACCCAGAGTCGTAGAGGAGGATATCACGAAAAGTGTAGAATCCCTCCCTGCCACCAGTGGAAGCGACGGCCCCATAGATTTTGGGAAAGGCAACGGACCAAGAATTACAGACATACCAATCATACCGACCGCCCAGACGCCCACGAGCAGCAAAAATAGAAAAGACTCGATTGGCATAATAGACCTGATGTGGGACGAAAATAAGAAAGAATCCGTCGAAACAAATGACACTTGGGAAGTCGTATCCAAGAAAAGGAAGAACACCTCTCCCCTGAAGCAGGCGGAGGATGTAAACAAAAAAAAGATAAGCTCGGACTACTTCGTTCTAAAAGAGACCCTAGACATGATAATCAAATTAGGATCTGACCTGGCAGGGAATATTGACAAGAACACGAAACGGGAGATCAAGGATATCTCCAAGAAATTGGCTAAACAGATCCAAACTCTAAACGGAGCGAGAATCTCGAGCTGGCTAGAAAGAGAAAAATATGAGAAAATGGATAAGATGACCTTCGGGACTGAGTCGCAAACCGGCCCGGAAAAAGACACTGAATCACCCCCTTCAACCGGTACAGGCGAAAAAACCCTGGAAAACCTGAAACCACAGAGAATCTGCCCAACGTGTAACACAAGACTAAGAGAGACCAAAGATGGTCAAACGGAAACTGAAACTTGGTACAACAAAAGAGACCTCAAACTAAATGACCTAGAGGGAATAAATACTTACGAGGAGTGGATCACTACGGCGCATAGAATATGGGACGACAAACTATACACAAACACGGAAGTTAAAGTAGGCAACCCACTAAATACAAAAACCGAGACAGTAAAGGTGGTCATGACAGAACCGTCCGACGAAAATATGGAGAGGAGCATACAGTTAATGTATAAAAACAGATACCCGGAACTGGCAGAAACGGAAGAAACCTTCGCAGTACTGGAACAAAGATCTAGATGGAAACAGAACAAGGACTCTGAGGCTTGCCAGAAAGTAATCAAAATTAGACAGGGAGCAAAAGAGAAAGACCTATGGGAGCAACTAGAGAAACTCAGACAGGAGACTAAAGATGATCACTGGGTGGCACTGCACGACATCGAAAGAGGAGGAATCGAAAGACTCAGGAAAGTTGTAGAAGCAATATTCCACGGGTGTGAAACACAGGTAGTTATCTACACAAATAAGAAAATAGATACACTAACAGCGGGTCATACAAGAAGCCAAGACAGACCGCCGGCCCTGATTGTCAGGCAAGATGGCAAAGGATTTGCCGACATCGTTAAGTCCCTGAAAGAGAAACTGAAAAATTCTGAAGCCTCAGAGATTATCAGGTCAATAAAGAGGACAAAAAATGATAGTGTTTTGATCACCATAGAGAAAAACAACACAGAAGCGAGAAAATTGAAAGCAGCAATAGAGGAAAACGAGGATAACATGAGAGTAAGAAACACAGGTGACAACACAGAAACGATCCACATTAGAGGCCTGGACATCACGGCCACTAAAGAGGAGGTGATAAGACAGGTGAACGAACTAGTAGGCCCCCTAGAAAAAGAGGATTACAGGTTGAGCGACCTTAGACCGAACGCGGGAAATACGCAGGCAGTCACCCTTACATTAGAGAAAGAAAAAGCGGAAGCGCTGCTGAGGCAGCCGTACATCCGAGTAGGCCTAACAAGGGGAAGAATGGAGAGAAGAATAAAAGTGCCTCGCTGCAACAAGTGTTGGGCGTACGATCACGAAAGGGACGAATGTGACGGGCCAGACAGGAAAAACTCCTGCTACAAATGCGGCAAAGAGGGACACACCGCCAAAGCATGCGAAGAGGGGAAGCCGGTATGCCTACTATGTAACGGTGAGGAACACAGAACAGGAACCTCTGGCTGCCGGGCTTTTCGTAGAGCAATATCCAGAAGACGGAGAGATATCCGCTCCGCAAACAGAGGAAAGGAAGACGAAGAAACCGAACAAACACTGAATGGCCAATAAAACAAACAACGCAATAATATCCAAGACCAAGGTTATCCAAATCAACGTAAACCGCTGTCATGATGCCCACGACCTGCTGAATGCGACCGCTACACAGCTGGACATAGATATCCTAGCAATCTCTGAGCCCAACCACAAGAAAATAGCTAATAACGACTGGTGTACAGACACGGCAACGGACGCAGCCCTCAAAGTGGCTGGGAGGGATATTCCCTTCCTGGACGCGGGGTCAGGAAGAGGTTACGCTTAC